GATACTCCTGGATTTGTTTCGCGGGGAGTTTTGTGGAGGCGCTACTGTTGTTCCCATAGCGGTAGGGAGTTGGGACCGCAGTCGGTGCTAGACCGAATTTCTTCGCGACGGTGCTTGAGTACTTTCCAGCGTGTAGGTAGAACGCCGTGTCGTCTTCGACGATGTTCAGTCCTAGGTACTGGGTAACTTCGTCGGACACCGTGAGCGTCAGGTCCCTTTTCAGCTCCCCTTCGAACCAGGTGACGATGTCGGTGGTAGAACCGATGTAGAGCAGGTCGTCGACGTAGACGATGAGCAGAATGTAATCTCTTCCCTTCTGTAGTCGGTACATGCCTTGGTCATGTGGTAGCTGTAGGAATCCGATTTTTACGAGCCGGCCGTGAAGGTGCTGCTGCCAGAGCCGTGGGGCTTGCTTGATCCCGTAAAGGGATTTTTCCAGCTGGCATACTTTTGAAGGGTCGTCGATGAATCCGTGGGGTTGTTCGACGAAGATTTCGGCGTCCACAGGTGCGTACAAGAAGGCGTTTGCAACGTCGATTTGCCGTAGTGGTAGTTTCTTCGTGGCCGCGATGGCGAGTAGGATGCGCAGAGAGGTGTGACGGGAGACTGGAGCGAAGGTTTCTGTGTAGTCGGTTCCGTATCGTTGATCGAAGCCTCGTACGACCCATCGAGCTTTGAATCGTTCGATGGAGCCGTCTGAGTTGGTCTTGATGCGGTACACCCATTTCCCCGAGAGAATGTTCTTCCCGTTGATGCTCGTTGCAGGTACCAGTTTCCATGTTTCTCGGTCTTGCAGAGCTTTTAACTCTTTTTCCATCGCTTCCTTCCATTGTGCCTTATGTTCCCCCCCCAGAGCCTGCGACAGGGTCGACGGCTCGCGCGGAGAAGGCGGCGGCGGGTGCTGGACGGAGACCCATAGTCCTAGGATCTGCAGTCCCGTGGCTGTGTGTCGAGGGGAGTTTTCATTCTCGGGATAAGCTGCTTCATCACCGTCTTCAGGATCGGGTAAGAAGTTTGGCCCGATGCGTTCGGAAATATTCGAGTCGACGGGGTGTGGTGTAGCGTAGCCTTGGTCAGCGAAGTGGTAAAAGGTGTCGAGGTTGTTGCTATCGAGGGGATTATCTTCATCGAGTGGAACAGGTACGGAGCAGTAGGGGAGTGGTCCGGCAGCCTCCGAGGCTCCAGGGACGTCTTCTTCTGCTGCGTCAGCCTCGGCAGCATGGTCAGCGAAGGAGCGAAGGCCCGCGAAGCCGTCGGTGGGGTCGTCTGAGTTGGCAATGTTGTCCAGGTAATGCTGCAGCGTCAGTCGCTCGTAGAAGATAACATCACGTGATGCCACCGTATTTTTGTCGTGTATGTCGAGAATCTTCCACGCGTGAAAATGTTTGGCGATGCCGAGGTGTAGTCCCCACCGAGCTCGTTGAGTGAAGCGTCCTGCTCGAGCTGTGTGGGGTCTGTATTGTACCATGCAGCCGAAAACTCGAAGTAATTTTGTGCTGCCCCTTTTTCCCGTCCACAGCAGGTGTGGTGATGCGTTGTTGGGGAGCGATGAAGAGGACAACAGGTTGTGCAGGTGGACTGCATGTGTCATCGCGTCTGGCCACAGTGCGTTGGGCAGCCTCATCCCCAGAAGCAGTTTTCGCATCGTCGTCTGCAAGGTCCGGTTCATGCGTTCTGCTACCCCCTGCTGCTGGTGAGCATAGGGCAGAGACACCAGGCGTCGGATTCCCCTTTCCGCGAGATAGGTCCTGAAGCGTTGTGACTGGTATTCCAGTGCACCGTCTGACTGGAAACTCTTGAGTTTGGTTCCTGACTCTCGTTCGGCGATTGGAAGCCATGTGGTGAAGGCCTCGAAGGCTTGATCGCGCGTTTTGAGATTGAAGTGCCAGACGTATCTGGTTGCGGCGTCGATGAACGTGATGACGTAGTTGAAGTCGGCTTCGGTGTCGTCTCGAGGCATGTTTAGAATATCGCTGTAGACCTTTTCCATCGGAGCGTAAGTGGGTGCGCTTGGATTGTGATGGGCTGGGAAAGGTTGATGAGGAAGATCTGCTTCGGGGCACGTGAAGCATCGTGCGCGTGGTCGTCGGAGTTCCTGGCCGCTCGTCGTCAGAAGGGCGTTGCGTTCTAACACTTCTGCTTGGATTGTTTGAAGTATCGTGCTGTTTGCAGGATGTCCGAGACGTTGGTGCCAGATGTCGTCGGGAGCGCGGTGACCGGGCGAGCGGTGGTAGATGTCGGCGTTGGAGAAGAACGCGACGACCGAGGCGGGACTTCGACAAGCTTCTCGTGTGGCGGGCATAAGTTGGTCTGCTTCGGTTGGCTGTCCTCGTGTCGCTGGTGGTGGTACTCGGCTGGGTCCTGCTGCCGATACTGCAGGTGATGGTTTTGTTGGGACGCTTGCTGGTACTTGTCTTTCTTGTCTGATAACTGCTAATGCCCGTGTTCTCTCTGCTGCAGGTATGGTGTTGGAGTGCCAGAAGCCGTCACTGTCGAAGTCGGGATCAAGATCTGGTGGGTGAGTCCAGGCGGCGAACGATACGATGCCATCGCTGTCGGCAGTTCCGCGGTCGGGGACGAAGTCCAACACGAAGACACCGGACTTCAGGAGGGCACGACCGATGAAGAGACCGCCCTTCCCGTGGTAAAGTCGGAACTCGTTGGAGAAGGAGTCGCACTCCAGGTGAATCCCCTTAGCCATTAGTTGGCTTACGCTTAATAGGTTGTATCCCAGATTGTCGACGATGAGGACCTTGTTGAGCTGAAGAATAACGTTTGTCTCCATTGATTGTAACTGAACCACGCCTTGTCTATTTGTTTTCAGGTTTTCGTTGTTGGCGACGGTGATGACGACGTCACGGTTGAGGCGTCGCTCGTGTTGTACGAAGCGTCCGGAGGAGCACATGTGCTGACCGCAGCAACTGTCCAAGAACCAGGTGTTCCGCCCGGTGGGTTCGGCGTTAGCGACTGCAGCGTATGTCGGGTTGACCTGAAGTCCTTGCGAGCGCGGCGGCGGGAATTCCTCTTCGTCTGGTGCGTAAGTGGGTGGTGAAGCGGGTGCGCAGTTGTCGATGTGTACCATGCAGTTGATGATGTTGGGTGTTTGTTGTGCAGATGTTGAAGAGCGCCTTGGAGGACTTGCTTGAGTGGAAGCGACTTGTGGGTCTGCTGCACGGTAAACGCGAGGGCGGTTGCAGTTGACCTTGGAGTGCCCGGAAGTCTGACAGTTGTGGCAGAACGGCGGCACGATGGTGAGTCCTCGGTTGTCACGTTGATCTTGCTTGCTGCGTCGGTTGTAGTTGTTGTCATTTCTTCTTTGAGTGTAGAAGACTAACTGCTGTTGCTTCCTTGGTTGTCTTTCCTCGAACAGATCCATCTCCTGTTGTTCAGCGTGAAGCTCGGCGCAGAGGTGCATCTCCGAAATTCTTCCGTGGGCTCGAAGAAGTGATCGTGTGGTTCTCCATTCTGGCCCGAGCCCGGCGAGGACAAGTGTCACGAAGCTTTCTTCAGTGATCGTTCCTCCGCACCGAAGCAGGCGGTCGCGGAGGGTCTGGCAGCGACTCATATACTGCATCGCCTTTTCCCCGGTCTTCATCTGTATTGTTGTCAGCTGTTGCATGAGTCTGCTTTGTGTCACGCTGTCGTTTGCTTGATAGAGGCACTTGAGATGATGCCATGCGAGTTCCGCGGAGTTTCCATAACTTCGATACGTTCTGATGCTCTGCTGCTCTTGTGGTGACAGGTTTCTCAGGAGTACCGTATACGCCAGCAGCGACTGATACGTGAAGATTTCTTGTTCCTTCCCAGTGCCGTTGCTTGGGAATGGCAGGGACCCGTTGAAGTATCCCAGAAGATGCGCGGCCTCCATCAGCAGCTCGAACTCGAAGCTCCAGGTAAAGAAGTCGTGTCCGTTGAACGGTGAGGATGTCTGAAGTTTGATCACGTGTGAGAACTGCGCCTGTAAACTTAAGATTTCATTCGGTGTTTGTTGTGAAGCAGCTGCTGTTGGCTGGGCACGGGGCGGCATGAATTCGAACGTCCCCGGCGAAGAATGATAAGGCGCAAAGGTAGGCGCTTGATTGTGTCGCCCGAAGGATGAGTTGTCGAGGCTCATCGGCGCTAATCCCATATTCCCTCCATTGCTCTGTGTTGAGTGCGCAGGTGTCCTTGTCTGCTGCTGCTGATCGAAGTGTGACATGAAGCTGAAGAATCTCTCCATGAGATTCGGGTCCACACTTGAAGAGGGAGACGGGGTCACCATCTCTGGTACTCTTCCCGTTGTTTCTTGAGCAGTCCCGGTCTCTGTCTGCAGTCCTGAGGTGTGCAGACCAGAGTTGCCGTGTTGAGTTTCTTGGGCGCTGGGTGAGCCCGTAGAGACTTTCTTGCCCTTGTTGTCCATGTCTTGTAATCAATGAAGTCGTTGAATTGAGTTGAGTTGCAGGTTGTTGATAGGACGTAGTTGCTGGGAGTTTGGTCTCTGACCAGCTCTGATACCATGTTGGGCTGAAAAAAAGCCCTTAGGATCTTTTGCAGAGACTAAGTCCCAGCTGTAGAGACTTGAGACTTGGAGTAGTGCAGCGGAAGTTGAGGCAGTTGAACCCTTGTACTAGTATGTGAGAACAAGTGATTGATTAAAGAAACAAGCATACAGCAATATATAGAAGATAAGAAAGCAGTTGTAGAATACAGTTACAGGAACGGTTTATCGAGTCGCACAGCGACTCGATTGCCGCTTCGGTTACCATCCGTGATGTTGTAACGGTCAGTCGCAACCTCCAGTTGCGACCTTTCGAGTCCTTTCGCATTCTTTGTCCGCCCCCTCGTGTAACCTCCGTTGACTCGCGTGCTCCCCTGTAATCTTCCTCGAGTACAGTGTTACACTTCAGAAACGCTTAAGTCCTTGAGATATTTCCAACAGAATTCAAATCAAAAATTGCATATGCACATTCCATAACTCCTGGGTGCTGTATTTTTTTTGTCTTTTATTACACCCAACCCAAAATTTCGTTGCACTTTTATTAACACCATAGGGTGTTTTATACGAGGGATTACGGTATCTTTCTATGTTGTTATAGACTATATAGGGTTGTGCCTAAGAAAGTACAACCCTCTAGGTTATATTCCCTTGTATCTCATTGTTCTAGTCATTTGTTAACTTTGTTCTGGCAGCCTCTTCCTGTCACCTGGAGTGCGCACCCCCAGATCATCCCTCAGGTCCTCTGCTATTAGGTCCAGCAACACCTGCTGGCAGCACATGCACACAGGCAATGCACACACATGGAGGAGAGAGGACTGACAGTGCAATGCAGTGTGAGGGGCGAGTGAGGGAGGGATAGAAGCAGGGTTGACACAATGAGGAAGAGTGAAACACAAAGATTGTTGACAGGAAAGGCAAGGATGCAGGGAGAAGCCCAGGGCAGGGCAGCAAGGGTGCATGAGGAGGGCACCTGGCCGCAGACAGTGTGGTGGAGGAATGCAGATGCATAGGAGGCAAAGCCCTATGTTGTGAGCCATGTTACCACATCGTCTGTTGTCCATGCTGCCGGCGGGCCTGTCCATGCAGAGAAAGAGGCAGCCTGAGGAGAACGGGTGAGAGATTGCTTCTAACTACGAAGCAGATTGCTTACATGCACAGCTTTTGGCCCCCGCATCCCACAGTGGTAGCCCTAGCCATTGTGGCCAAGCCACTGTGCCGGGCTGCTTGGCATACCCATTTGCTGCAGAGGCCTCCCCACGAGCTTCGCATCAAACTGCTGTAGCCGCCTCCGCTCCTCTGCCTCCATCCACACATCACCACCCTGGCTCCCGCCGCTGCCACTGCTATTGCGTCGGGCGCGACCATCGTTGCCAGCCCCCTCATCCGCATCACCTCCCGCCTGACCATCCCACCAATCCATCCCCTTCATTGCCCTCGTCGCCTCTCTCTCGTCCTCTTTAGCCCGCGCCCAAAGGCGCGAAGCACCTCTCTGCACTCCTGCATGCTCACAGCCCTCACTCGCTCTAGCTGCAGGTGCACCGCCCCCAGCACCACGCTCACCCACCACGCACTGCTGCTGCCATACCCCACCACCGACAACCCCCCTAATGCTGCCACCGCTCCAGCAGCTGCTGATCCTGCTGCAGTGGCGGCCACTGATTGGCTGAACGGCGAGAGAAGGAAGGAGGTGAGGGAAGAGAAGGGCGAGAGGAGGAGGGAGATGGGGGAGGGGAAGCCTAGGGCGAAGACGAGGAGGGAGGCGAGGCTGGGCAGGCCGTAGGCTGCAGCGTTCTTGGCCATGTGGCGCTTGAGGCCAGGGGAGAGGAAGGGCGGAGTGCCACGAGGCGAGCAGCCATGCGGCGCCGTTGACGCCGGGGATCAAGCTCACCACTCCAGCCACGAACCAGTCGAACCGAGGGTCGCCTGCCTCCAGAAAAAACTCCTGCACCCCAGCTACCATGCTCTCGCCCCTTCTGCTACCCTCCCCACTACTGCCTCTCACACTGCCCCTGCTGCTGCTGCTGCTGCTGCTGCTGCTGCTGCTGCTGCTGCTGCTGCTGCTGCTGCTGCTGCTGCTGTATTCGTCCTCGGAGGTCCCACGGTCGTACGCTTCCTGGTACCTCATATTCTCATTAGCGTTGGGTCCTGCAGAGTGCGGTGCCACGTGTGGCCCAGCCTGTACGAGTCCCTGGCGAGGCTCAATACGCCCACGGCGAAGTTGAGGAGCAGCGCAAGGCACAGGAGGCGGTCCAGCAGGAGCGCGCCCGCGGGAGGCACGCGGGGCCGCCGGGCAAGCGAGAGGTCGCACGCGGGACAGCGCGACTGGTGCTGGCGACAGGCGGGTGTGGCAGCGACGGTGCGCGGTGAGGGCGGTTGCGGCGATGGGCAGGAGGGAGGACTCCACAGCTGCTGCGATGCTCCGCCCACGCCGCGACGCTGCAGGGGCGCGAGGGGAGAGGCCAGAACTGGACTTAGCGGGAGTCCAGGGGGGAAGATGTGAGAGCGACGGTAACGCCATGGATAGGTAGTGGGTAGGGAGGTCACTAGGCCAGGCGTATGTGCGCCACATGAACATCAGTTATTGGGCGCGCAATCAGCAGCAGACACTGAATTCCCAAGTTCGAACTCGTCAACTGGGTAGAAAGCGTACCCCATCGATGAGAAGACCTGGAGGCACGGCCAGCTTCGTCAGCTTCGGCCTTGAAAAACACATGAATTCGTCAGCTTCGGGCAGATTCGTCAATGCCGTGGCAAAAACAGAGAGGCCTCGTTTTCCAGGCTCGTAATACCGTAACTCTGTTATTTCACCAGGCTCTTCTAAATTTCGCTGCGCAGAGAATTTGTCGTGTCAAAGGCTGGACACAAGGCCGAGCCAAGCATGCTCTCTGTGGTCGAAAGGTGAGCCTCGCGACATCTAAATTCTCCGTAAGAATGTTTCGAACATGTACAGAGGACGTAACAGGTACGTGTTTGGGAAAAATGAACGCGCTGAATTTCCCTAAAAGCTGATGCTGGGTTCGGGGATGGTATCAGGATTCAATACGATATACAGTGGTGTTTAGTTTTTCTAGGTGGAATCTCGTATTGGAAATTGGAATGGTTCGATGTGGGCGTTATGTGAAACATACCACGAGAGTTACAATACAACACGTGCTCAATCGCTTTGTACGCGTGGTACATTCCGTGAAACGGGTAGCTCTAGACTGAAGCGAGTCATGCGGCGTGGATACCACTATGGCGTGGCCTCAGCAGACTGCCTTCCAATCCCGCCATGCCACCCCCCGCAACCACGGCGCCCTCCCACTCCTCCGCTTTCGGCCCGCCCACCTCCGCACCCGCCTCGCGGCCCTCGCGCCGGGCCAAGCGGGGGGAGTTCGGCCGTCGGATCGGGTTGATCGGCGCGTGCGTCTTCCTGCTGCTGTGGCTCGCCACGTGGCTCCACGACGACTCTGACGCTAGCTTCAGAGAATCTGGCCACGTGGTGACTCAGAGCGATGACGGTGACGGTGATGTGACTGTAGCGAGTACAACTCCGCATTCCCCGCCGCGGTTCGTGCTCTACCGCATGATCGGCAATGACATTCCGCCACTGCAGTGCGCGGGGCAACTTTACGAGAACACGCTGTACGCGTTACAGCACGAGCCGAGGCGGCTGGCGGGGTGTCGGCGCGTGTGGGTGGTGAACAACGTGGTGAACGAGACGGCGGAGCGGCGGGTGGTGCGCGCACTCAAGGCGCACGGGTACGGCGACGAGGTGAGGGGGGAGAAAGGGGGGGGGGGGAGGGGGGAGATGGATGAGAGTCAGAGCGAGCGATGAGAGAGAGGGTGAGAGAAGGAGGTGGGGGGTAAAGCGGAGAGGGGGCAACAGAGAGAGCGGCACTGTCAGGTGTCGGGGATAGTCCAGCATCGCACTCGCCGCTTTTCATTCCCGACCCCAGTCGCCTTTGCATACATCCATGGCTGCTGGTCAAGCCCGCATTGTTTGTCCTGCGCGAGTTGTCTCCACTCGCCTCGTTGTCAGCATCGTCCTGCTTGATAATCGCAATCTCCCCACCTCCTCTACTCAAAGCAGGTCTCTCGTCCATCTTTTCTCACCTTATCGACCCCCCCCCACTCACTCCCTCCCCGTTCTCTCTCACTCTCTCTCTCTCTCTCTCTCTCTCTCTCTCTCTCTCTCTCTCACTCACTCTCTCTCTCTCTCTCTCCCCACTCAATCCCTCCACCTCATTCTCCCTTCTCACTCTCCTCCTTTCGTCAGCTATACTGCTTGCTCCTCGCCCCTTCGTACCTCTCATCTCCCCCCCTCGTCGTTCAATGCCCTCCGCGCGTGGCCTCACTCCCCGGCCCCTGGGCATCAGGACATCATAGTGCGCAGGGTCAACTACACACACGTGGCGCAGCTGCCACACGACAAATGGGGTGCAGCCGTGGCAGGTGGGTGCAGCAGTGGCAGGTGGGTGCAGCAGTGGCAGGTGGGTGCAGCAGTGGCAGGTGGGTGCAGCAGTGGCAGGTCCTTGCCTCATCCTCATGCGTTGCCTCCTTTGCTGTTGAGGTGAGGATCATCAGGCAGGCACCACAAGAAACTTTTTTTTTACATCCCATGATGCTTGATTTGAGAGCTTTTACTGAGTTCTGTGGCACCTTCTCACCTTTAACTGGCATCTATGCTGCCGTGTCTCTCCATCTCCATCACCTAAGCATACTCCACCTGCCATCCCGCTTCTCCCCCTGCGTTCTTTCCTCTGCATCCCCGCTGCGACCCTCCTCTGCCCCATGAACCAAGCCCCATCACCCCCTGCTGTCTCCGCCCTCCCCATCCACTGCCTTTACGCTCTCCCCCCCCCAACATGTGCAGCGCAAAATGAGGCGCGCAATTCCATGTTGGAGCACGGGCGGGCGGCAGGGGCGCGGTGGATCCTGCCGTGGGATGGCAACCAGTTCGTGACAAGGGAGGCGTGGCACCGCATCGTGGCCGCGGCTGACCGCTATGAGGCGCAGGGAATCAGGGTGTTCAAGGTGCGCGCGCTTGAGGGGGGGGGGGGGTGGGGGGGCAGGCAGTGAAGGCATGGGGAGGGGAGGCAGCGGGAGGGGGGTAGGGAGCGAGTGGCTTAGTTTTCTGGCAGATGATGGTCGTGTTAAAGCCCGCTGCCCAAATTGTTCATACGCAGTGCGTATGAACGTGAGCAGTGGTTTTAGCGAAGTCACAGAAAATATCGCAAACCCATGAAATTTCGCTGTCATAACTAGAGAGGTGATTGCTGGCAGGCAATCAGTAGCATTTGTTTTGCTCGATGAATCAATCGCGTTCTGGCTGCTGAAACAGGTTTGGTAAAATCCCTTGAATTTTGGGCCATCCGATTAACGTAAGACCGATCCGACGGCCCAAACTGAAACTGCTGAATGTTTTGAAATCGACGACCTCCAATCAGTACCGAGCTGTACACCCAACATCGACAAATATCGACCGTCGAAATCAGGGAGGTTACTGTGTGTTTGCCGAGTCCCAAAACACAGGCTGTTTCAACTTCAGTGTTTGTCGAGGGACTTGCACAGGTCGCAAACAACACACTTCAGTTCTAGTAACCCCTCCCACTGCCCCTTTCAAACGCAGTGCGTTTGACACCCGGGGCTTGCAATTTGGGCCGTGGGCTTTAAGACAGCATGGGTAGGGGAGAGGGGTTGGTGGATGGGGGCGGGTTGGTTAAAAAAATCTGGAGCAAGCAGGGTGGGACTTCACGCATTGCAACAGCCAGTGTACGCTGTGCTGCACACAGATAAGCAGCACACGCATAAGCAGCACGCGGATAAGCAGCACGCGGATAAGCAGCACGCGCATAAGCAGCACACGTAAAAGCAGCACACGCATAAGCAGCACACGCATAAGCAGCACACGCATAAGCAGCACACGCATAAGCAGTGCGCGTATACGCAGCACGCGCATAAGCAGCACCTGCATCAGCAGCACCTGCATCAGCAGCACACGCATATGCAGCACGCGGATAAGCAGCACGCGCATAAGCAGCAGCTGCATAAGCAGCACACGTATAAGCAGCACACATATAAGCAGCACACGTATTAGCAGCACACACATAAGCAGCACACGCATATGCAGCACACGCATAAGCAGCACACGCATAAGCAGCACACGCATAAGCAGCACACGCATAAGCAGCACACGCATAAGCAGCACACGTATATGCAGCACACGCATAAGCAGCACACGCATAAGCAGCACACGTATATGCAGCACACGTATAAGCAGCACACGCATATGCAGCACACGTATATGCAGCACACGTATATGCAGCACACGTATAAGCAGCACACGCATAAGCAGCACACGTATATGCAGCACACGTATAACCAGCACACGCATAAGCAGCACACGTATAAGCAGCACACGCATAAGCAGCACACGCATAAGCAGCACACGCATAAGCAGCACACGTAGAAGCAGCACACGTATAAGCAGCACACGTATATGCAGCACAGGTATATGCAGCACACGTATAAGCAGCACACGTATATGCAGCACACGTAAAAGCAGCACACGCATAAGCAGCACACGTATATGCAGCACATGTATATGCAGCACACGTATATGCAGCACACGTATATGCAGCACCCGTATATGCAGCACACGTACATGCAGCACCCGTATATGCAGCACCCGTATATGCAGCACCTGTATATGCAGCACACGTATATGCAGTACATGTATAAGCAGCACACGTATATGCAGCACACGTATATGCAGCACCCGTATATGCAGCACACGTACATGCAGCACACGTATGTGCAGCACCTGTATTTGCAGTACCCGTATATGCGGCACTCGTAGATGCAGCACCCGTAGATGCAGCACCCGTATATGCAGCACCCGTATATGCAGCACCCTTATATGCAGCACACTTATATGTAGCACACGTATAAGCAGCACACGTATAAGCAGCACACCTATATGCAGCACACGTATAAGCAGCACACGTATATGCAGCTCACGTATATGCAGCACACGTATATGCAGCACTCGTATATGCAGCACCCGTATATGCAGCACATGTACATGCAGGACACGTATGTGCAGCACCTGTATATGCAGCACCCGTATATGCAGCACCTTTTGGGTGACTAGAGCATGTGAGCGAGATGAAATAGCTGGCCATGGATGCGCTATTGCTGTTCTCTCTGTCACTCGTGATACTACCTGTGAGCCATGCGGCACGGCATCACACGGCCCCACAGCTCTGCTCACGCTCCTGTGCCCCATTGCTTTCCCCCGGTGCGTGCATGGTGCACCGGCCGGCCAGGTGGCGATGGTGAAGGTGCAGTCTCTGCAGCAGCGTGCGTGGCTCAACGCCTCGTCTCTCTTCCGCCACATCCGCCCGCACGCCCCCGGGCAGTGGGAGAGCCAGATGGCTTTTCGCAACGACTCCTCCCACCACTTCAAGCAAGGTGCGGACAGGTGCTGCCCTGGGCAAGGGCAGGGAAAAGTGTGTGAGTCGGCTGTGCCGTTCTTTGGGTTTCTGTTGATATTGAGCCGAGTGGCAGGTACTCGCACTCTTTACCGTCCATGAGCTGGGCTAGATCAGCCAGTGAAGGTGCCGTTCAAGTCAAGTCATTGTCCATACATTCTTCCCCTTTCCGCTCTCTCCACCACCATCCCGCCCTCTGCTGCCCCCAGGAGTGGCGTACGGCAAGGCCAACAAGCTAGAGGCGCTCATCCGCATCTGCGGCTCTGGCTGCTACTGGCACTGGCCCGAGCTCCTTAAAGCCCTGCACCTGCTGCAGAAACCCCCCTCGTGGGCCCCGTGCCGAGAGTTCTTTGCTGACACAGGAGAGTGCGGCTGCCAGGCTGTCATTGGCCGGGATTACCATGAGAGGAAAGTGTCGGTGCGCACGGCGCTGCAGTGCGGGTACTCCGTGCGGCTCTGGTACTACCCATGCCCTGGCGTTGACATTGAAAGGGCGTTTCGGAGCACGGCGTACAGGACAGAGCTGAGGGCACAGGGGAGAGAGCTGTTCCAGGAGCAGATACGAGCAGCAATGGCAAGGCAAGGGGTGGTGCCAGCGATGGGGAAGGCTGATGATGGGGAACTATGACTTGTCGAACAAGATGCAAGATGACTGATGATGACCGTCAGTAGCACCGTCTGAACCAGAAATTAAGGCATGCAGCCAGCCAGGCCCCCAGGTTTCAGAAATTTACCCTGATTTTCAGGTGTTTTTGTTAGCGTACATATTTGCAGTAGGCTAACTGGGTGCTTTGTGCTAGGGAGTACAGCACAAATATAGGAACCATGTCCTGCATGTGTCTCACTGTGACATGGCATCAGAGCTAGGTTAGGTCATAGCCTCCGTGCTTCCGCCCTATGGTCTCCCCGCTCCCCTCACCCTAGCCTGTCGCCCTAGCCTATGCTCTGTGTCCTTCCCCCTCTTCTCGTACTCCGTTCCCACTCTCCTAGCCTTATCATCCGCCTCTCCTCACCCTCTGCTCCCTGCACGCTTTACCGACGGGATGGGTGGACGTGTGCCTGTTCACTCCATGTGTGCTCCACGTAGCCTAGGCTACTTGTCGCACCAGGTCTCAGGGGCTCCTGGCGGGTCTTAGAGTAGCGCGCCTCGCAAATTACGGGGGGAATTGTGTTTTACTCGCCAATCCTGGATCGTCCCTCTCTTGACGCCACTACAACACCCGAGGTCGCCTTTTCGCGAGGCTAAAGCACTCCAAAAGTAGTGGGGGGAGTTGTAGGTCGATGAGCGGGCGGATATTTTTTAATGACCTACCGTAACCTCCCGGCATGATTACCCCCCCGAAAAAGGGACTCTGGGTCTTTTTTCCGGACCATGGGTCTTGATATCGTAAAGGGATTGTGAGGACCCGCTGTTTGGGGTAAATCATTTTAAGGACCCCCCCTTTTCAGTTTTAAGAGGTTTTTCTAGCAGTTTTTGCTAAATCTCAAAATGCGTCATGCACTACGAAGTCAACTTCCACATCATGGAGACTTTGTGAACGGACCCCCTGTTAACGTAGAAACGAATGATTACTAGAGGTGGAAACCTAGAACAAATACTAGTTGGTTGTACTCACTAGAAGCATACCTCAGTCTAGCCTATAAATTCTACATAGATAATATGTATAAGTTGACACACCCCCTAGGCTAGACAAGGGGTGAAACTAAACAAGAAGCAAACAGCTCAGGGCGGCACTACTAGTCCAACCACTGAGGCAGGGGTCTGGAGACCAGTCAGCAAGAATACAACCAAAACTGAAGCAAGCCAGGGTGGCACTACTAGTCCAGCCACTGGAGGTAAGGCCACAAGGCCAGTCTGACAAGCATATATAATAGAGAGTACACAATCAGGATCCTAACAGGGGAGCAGCTATAGGAACAAGACCAAGCTGTACACAGTGCCGCTGATGATCTTTAGGCGCAAGCGCCTTAGTAAAGATATCAGCTGTGTTGGCACCTGAGGCCAAGTGAACTACGCGGGCCTGGCGGCGCTGCTGTAGCTCGCGCAGGAGGAAGTACCGCAGCTGGATATGCTTCGCTCTGCCCTCAAGCCGAGGCTCCTGACACAGGAGTATCATGGCCCTGTTGTCAGCGTACAGGACCGGGGCAGAGCTAGGCCGCTCACCTAAGTCTGTGAGCAAGAAGGTCAGCCAGCGGAGCTCCTGTGCCGCCATGGCACCAGCGTAGATCTCAGCCTCACAGCTAGACTGAGCCACAGACGACGAGCGAGTGGATCTCCAAGAGATAGCACCCGAACCAAGGCTGAAACAGTAGCCCTGCGACGACCTGAGCGTCTCAGCGTCGTCTGCCCAAGAAGCGTCTGTGTGCCCAGTAAGGACCACTGGCCTGCGTCCTCCTAGCACTAACCCCATGCCTGATGTACTAGCAAGATAACGCAAAACCCTCTTAGCGGCAGACCAGTGCTGAGGTCGGTGTCTGCCTGTAGCCACAAAGCGAGCCAGGATGCTGAGAGGGTATGCGAGATCTGGGCGAGTGCAAGTCATCAGGTACATGAGGCAACCCACCAGCTCTGCGTAGGGGCCACTGGGCTCTACTGGCTCCTCAGGAACGGGAGCAGAGAGCCCATGGTCTACGGGTAGAGGTGTGGGCTGTGCGGAGGAGAACTGAAGACCGAACCTCTGAAGGACCTGACGCACCAAGTGTGACTGGGTCAGAGTGATAGTGCGTGCTGCTCTGTCCCTAGAGATCTGCAGGCCAAGATAGCGACGCAGCTCTCCAAGGTCAGTGCAGGTGTGTCTCTTCAGCAGCTCAGCCTTCACAGAGGCCAGTGCGTCCCTGTCAGGAGTAGCGAAGACCAGGTCGTCTACGTAGACAAGGATGTAGAACGGAGTCTGGCCGGAACGCACAAACAGTGAAGGGTCAGCAGAGGACGGAAAGAACTGCAGGTCTGCTAACGTGGCACGTAGCGTGTCGTGCCACTCGCGGGGAGCCTGACGCAGGCCGTAGACCGGGCGCCTGAGAAGCCACTGGGTCCCAGGAGGGAAGGTACCAGTGAAGCCCTGTGGTCGGCGCAGATAGACCTGCTCGTGTAGGCTGCCCTGAAGAAAGGCAGTAGAGAAGTCGAGAGAGTGAAGCTCGTAGTCACGCTGTGCTGCTACGTGTAGCAGCGCCCGAAGAGTGGTCATCTTCGGGGTCGGGGCGAAGGTCTGGAAGAAGTCAACCCCCTCGCGCTGACTGAAACCTCTGGCCACGTAGCGCGCCTTGAAGACAGGCGGCTCTCCAGGGGGGCGCTTCACCTTGAAGAGCCACCGACCATCGACTACGTTCACCCCAGGCGGGGGAACTGCGTCGACGTAAGTGCCGGTGGATCTCCAAGATGCCATCTCCTGCTCCATGGCAGCTATCCACTGAGAGGCCCAAGGTCCCGAGGTGGCCTCAGCGTAGGTGCGAGGGGTCGGGATGTCGAAGGCGTCTGGGTCACCCTCAGGGACTAACAGCATGGAGCAGAGATGGGGAGCAGCCTCGGAAAGGAAAGCCAGCTCGTACTGCCTGTCCTCTAGGACGTCACTGCCAAGGGCAGGAGCACCCCCGACGGACAGAGGACGGGCAGGGTCAGAGACCAGAGCGGTAGCGTAGTCAAGGCGGCGGGTAGAAGCGAAGTCAGCGACAGCAGCGACAAGCGCGTCAAGGCGCGAGACAGGAACAGCAGGGTCGGTAACAAGAGAGGCAAGGACCCGAGGGACAAGGGGACGAGCAGCACGGAGGTAGTCAGAGAACGGAGGAGGTGCAACAGCAAGGGACGAGGGAGGAGGGGACGGGAGGAGGGGAGGACGAGACGAGTGGGAACGGAGCAACATAGGGTGGGTGGGCAGGACAGGAGAGACGGGACGAGCACGGGAGGGACGGCGAGCCCAAACGTGAGACGGAGGGGTAGGGTCAGGGGACAGCGGAGGAGACACAGGAGGGGAACGAGGAGGAAGACGGGCCGGAGACGAGTCTGGCGGCGGGAACACAGGACCGTAGACAGGGAGGTCAGGAGGCGGTGGGGGAGACACCGGCGCGCGGTCCGGGGAGGGAAGGCCGAGCAGGCGGAGAGCGGAAACCGGCGGCGACGGCTGCTGCGGCGGCGACGACGGCTGGGCCGGAACTCTCGGACCAGCAGAGGCAGAACGACCGTCGGCAGAACACTCAACAGCAGCACCCCCAGAACCAACACCCCCAGAGCGAGAACCCCCTCCAACACCAGCGGCACCCCCAGAAGCCGCAGGACGAACACCCTCCTCCACACCAGCACCCCCAGGGGCCGAGAGCAGCGGCGGCAGTGGCGGCAACGGCTGCGGCGGCGGCGACAGCGGCGACGGCTGCGGCAGCGACAGCGGCGGCGGCGGCGACGACAGCGGCGACGGCTGCGGCGGCGACGGCGACGGCGGCGGCAGCGGGGTCGGCGACTGCGACAGTGGGGGCGGAGGCACCGGGGAAGGGGGACGCGGCAAGGACGGACCGGGGGTACCACCAGAGTCAGCAGACTCCTCAACGGGGACAACCGACGGGAGGGGAGTGACGTGGGAGACACCAGACGGGGCAGGACGAGGCGGGAGAGGGGCAGGGGCTACCGGGGGAGAGGGAGCAAGGAAAAGGGGGGGGGCAACTGGGAGACCTCGGTGAGGGAAGCGGCGGTAGAAGGAGACGGACTCGTCAAAGGTGACGTCACGAGAGTGGAGGAAGCGGTGAGACGGCGGGTGGTAGAAAAGCCAGTCAGACGAGTCCAAGGGGAAACCGAGGAAGACACAGGGGACAGTGCGGGCAGTGAGCTTGTCCGTGCCAGAGGCACGAACGTGAGCAAGGCAGCCCCAGACGTGGAACGCAGACGCGTCACCGGGGGACCCGGTCCAAAGGAGGGTCGGCGAAACCTGCGGCCGCTGGGAGCGTGGCCACAGGTTAAGCTGGTGAGCCGCGTAGCGAACAGCGAACGGCCACAGAAAATGGGGGGCATCGGCATGGATCATGGAGGTACGGGCGACCTCCATGACCAAGCCGATGCGGCGCTCAGCAACCCCATTCTGCTGTGGCGAGTCCGGCAACGTGTACGACTGGGTGATGCCCTCCGCACGACAGAACTGTCCAAGCCGACCAGAGGCGAACTCGCCGCCACGGTCGGAGTGGAGACACAACACGGGGAGACCGCGGTGGAGACGCGCAGCCACAACCCACGGGAGAAGAACGTCGGGCACGTCGGCCTTCCGCTCCAGGGGAAACACCGTGGTGTAGCGCGTGTAGTCGTCGACAAGCACAAGGAAGTAGCGCTCACCGCGCGGTCCGGGGACGGGGGCAGGGCCCCAAACGTCCAAGTGCAGGGTCTGAAGGGGGGCAGTAGCAGGACGCAGCGAGGAGGAGTGAGGAGCACGGCGGAGCCGACCCTCGACGCAAGGCGTGCACGGTGGCGCAGTCGAGGGAGGAAGGGCAGGGAGCGACGCGGGGAGACCTAAGACAAGACCGTGCTGGGACATGTGACGCAGACGCGGGAGAGCAGGGTGACCTAAGCGGTGGTGCCAGAGAAGGGAGGGGTGAGTGAGGGACCGACACGAGCAAGCTGCAGCGACCTGGGAGGACGCACCAACCGGGGGGGAAGCGGTGTGTAGGGTAAACAGACCGGACACCGGGTCCCGGGGGAACGTCGCAAGGGGGGAACCTGAGACAGCCTCAGAACAGACAGCGAACCGCTCGTGCCCGGGGAACGTGGTGGTGACGCCGAGGTCCTGGAGACAGCCGACACCAACCAGGTTCCTGGAGAACGAGGGAACGTGGAGGCCAGTAAGGGAGCCCGAGGGAACTGCCGGACAGGGAAGGGACGTAGAACTGCGCGCGACGACCGGACCCGCAGAGGGGTCAGCGAGAGAGACAACAGCAGGTGCAGCAAGCGGCGTGAGCGTGGAACGGTCGCGGAAGAAGCAGGCAGAAGCACCAGAGTCGAGAGTGAAGGACAGCGACGCAGTGGCGGGGGCCGGGGACGGAGCCGGTGCAGCGACTAGACTAGGCAACCTAGGCAGTCCTACGCCTGTCGCAGCAGGGGAAGCTAAGCTACACAAGGGTGAAACACCTAAACTAGAGTACACAGGGTAGTAAGATCCATCAACACTAGAAGCGTCAGCATACAAA